TCAAAAGTAAAGGAGAATCGCAAAAGTTTATAAGTTGTCAGTATTTCACAAGTGTTTGATGTTTTAAGAGCCAACACAAAAAGTTATTGATCAAACCATGGAGAAGTGCAAAGATTTATTCAATTCTTGTTTTCGGAAAACCCACAGAAAGATGGAGGAACTAACTAGACACACTAAAACTTTATATCTTCCCAGCCATGAACATCGTTCCTCATAAAAATGATGTGGATGTTCTTCTCAATGTATGAATCTCTGTTTGCCCTTTTATTGGGAGATTTTTATTTAGCTGGCCTGTGCTTGGAAGGTGCATTTCATATTTATGCCCAACATCTTACAGCTGGGCCACCTTTTGAATAAAAAGCACATTTCATAATTTATTACCAACAGCAGCGCACCATAGAGTTGGAGGGCAGGTGTCAACTCCCAAGATGCACTAGAAAATCTACCTTTTTTTTTCCCCCTGCAAAACCAACTGCTCATAATGCAGTATCCTCAGTGTGATCCTTTATATTAACTGCAGTAGGGTGGCAGTGGTGCTACGGGTGCAACCAGACACAGTAGTTACAAAGCAGCAGTCAATGATTTGGCTCTGGGTCAGTTTATTAATCTCCTGTTGAGGCAGCAGGCAGGTTTTCAAATGGATAAGAGTAGAAGAATTAGCATCTGGTACCTGCAGTGACAGTTTACCCATTAGCTGCACCCTGATGATAATCCTTTTTTTGTGGGATAAGAGATAATTACAGAGAAAACCAAAAGTCCAGCCAAGAGCATTCTCATGTTTCGCCATCTCTACCAGGTTTTTAATCCTAAAGAAAAGCTTATATGAAGTGCAACAGGGAAATAAAACAAAAACAAGCACACCGCAAAATACTAAATGCACTTCTTTTTAGTACTAATGAAAATGTCAGTGTTACAAAAATGTTTAATCCCCTACCTAATTGATCAATTGCTGGTTTATATTTACAAAATAAGAAATTTCACCAGCCGTAATACTTAAAAAAAAAGTTTAAAATAATGTTTTTAAACACTCCTTATTTGCACGCACATGAGAGTAAAGCTCTATGAAAACATGAAGCCCGCACCCTTCGGAATCTGTCGTCAAATCAGACTCACCCTGAGTGCTTGCAGGCATGTGAACCCATGCGCTACCGCCCCGCCAGCAGAAAAGCTGGATTGTCAGGCCAAACCGGCCAATACTCTGCATTTTTTTTTCTTCTCCTCTTTCTTTTTCTACCCACTAAAAGCAATAAAACCAAGCATCACTGCTGCGGGGTGGCTAACAGTAACATCTTGGACTTGGACAGATTTATTTTGTATACACGAGTGCATACAAACGAAATTTCGTTTAAAACAGCTCTAGATAATTAAAAGTTGTCTTCCCGGATAAATCTGAACGTTTGCATTTAAAAGTCGTAGGGAAATCATATTTACATGTAAAACCATTCTGGCTTAAATGTCTTCTTTATCAGACCATATCGTCCCAAAATTTAGAAAAGAAATCCTGTCTTAAATCTGAGGGGGGTTTTTTTCTCATTATTTTATGCAGGCCAGTTAGTTCAACATCAGCCTGAACACCTAAATTCGGACAATCATATATCAACGGTCATCTGTCAATCAAATTTTTTTGGTCATAGCATTTTGATTCATATGGCACAGCTAATATACGTAATGGTTTACTTTACCACTGAGTTAAAGGAATAGTACACCCA